GTTGCTGATACACCGACAAGCGAAAAATTCCACCCACTTGATTTTTTCATGTTTTCATCTAAAAATATTTCTGCTTTGGATTGGTCTATTGTTTTTAATGAATAAATAGATAATCTTGTGTTTGCTTTCAATTAGGAATGTTAATATAGAGGACAATAACCCTTAATCATTAATTCAATGAAATGATTATAGATTCCAATGTTTACATTCTATGGAATCAATATGTTTATTCAGTATCATTAGTTCAGTACCGTTTCTTGCAGCACATTTCTTAGTCTCCGGCTTTTAATTTTTTCAATATTAAGTTTAAAAATGCCTCTTAGTGCTGAGGATGTTGCGCGTGGTGTGGCACTTATTGATGATGGACGTTCCATTAGATATGCAGCTAATGTCATCGGAGTTCTTATGAAACTTTACGAGATGCCGTCAGGCGTTTTCGGGAAACTGGTTCTTACAATAGAAGGCCCGGGTCTGGACGTCCTAGGGTAACAGAACCACGGGATGACCGGTTTTTGACTTTGAGAATTTTACGAAATCGGCATCTTACCGTTGTTCAAGCGATTCATCAGCTCGAAGAAGTTCGAGGTGTTCAAAGTTTTGAACGTACCGCTCAGAGAAGATTAAATGACTATGGATTAATGGCTTTTCGTCCAGTAAGAGAACCAGAGTTGACCAGAACTCACAGAGTAACACGGCTGGCTTTTGCTCGAGAACACAGCCATTGGACTATGGACGAATGGAGTGCTGTACTTTTTACAGATGAGTCAAGATTCGCTCTTCGATCTCCAGACGGGTGTGAAAGGGTGTAGAGAAGAAGAAACGAAAGATATGCAGCCTGTAATTTTTCCCAGAGCCAACCTTTCCAACGTGGTTCCTTAAAGGGTAACAAGTGGGTGGAATTTTTTGCCTGTCAGTGTATAAACTGGTGGGCATGTGTCTCGTCGAAGCGTAAATGTTATGTGTTGTGATTTGTTATGATTTAATCTAATTTTCCAAAGTGGATAACAAATTGAGGAAATTTCTAAACCCTGTCGGACAGAGAAGAATCTGTCGAAAAGAAAAGACTGAAGAATGAGATAGTATATATTGGGCAGTATAGTTTTGAATTTAAAGAGAAGTCCCTGGTGCCAGACTTAATCAAATGCCTGGGCAACATCCAGAAATACGCCGGTAGCATATTGTTTTTACTCTACCGCTCCAGCAATGTAGTCAGTAACTCTGTGTAATTGGTGTGTAGTAGGATGAAATGTTCGAAAACTGAATTGATGGTTAGGTATTATTTGTTGGTCTGTCAGTATGTCAACCAGTCTTTTGTATATAATTTTTCGAAAACTTTGGAACATATCGAAAGGAGACTGATAGGTCGGTAGAATGAGGGTTGAAAATGTCTTGTCCCTTTTGTGTATCATCTTGATATGTGAATATTTCTATTGTAATGGGAAATTGGTTGTCCTCAGAATACAGTTGTATATTGTCGTAAGGAACAAGACATTTTCAGAAATGTCAATTCAATTCAAAAAAACAAGACAAATGCTTTCCTAAGCATTTGCTGGAGCCTCTCGGCAGTTATTAAGTCATAACCTGGGGCTTTCTTTTAGAGAGATGTCTGATTTGTTGTTCAACTTTTGAAGGAGTGAAAGAAAGAGGAGAAGGTGTCAACCGTAATGGTATATCTAGATCAAAATAAATCAAATACTAAGGTTTCATGCTATGTGTCCGTGATGTCAGTAAATGGCGTAAATACTGATGAGGGATCCCCTTTTTGCCTTTCAAATTGGAGATGCCTCGACCTATGCATGCCAACTGTGCCGATCCCCCGCCAGCGTCATCAGTCGCTTATCTCTTCTCTCTCCCAGGCGATCCATCCATGACATCCTTGACCTGTCTCTTCGTCTTTTACCAGTTGGTTTTGCTTCCAGGAACTTGCGTGGTTCGCGATCTTTTTCTCTATGGTCTGAACTAAGGGTTTCATCCCTAGCTCTTTTCTTATTCTCTCATTTCTAATTAGATCTCTTCGAGTTCCCCCGGCAACTTTTATAAGATACGTCATCTCCGCTGCAGTGACTCTGCTTAAATGCTTGTCGAGAGGACCCCAGCTCTCACTTAAATTAAGCTATTATTATAGTTCTAATCCTTGCTATTGACTATTTGATGCCATGAAATATTTTCGTAAAAATTGATATAAAATAGTTTTTTAAAGAAAATAGACCTCGACCTCGAAAGTGGGGCTAAAACGTTGTCCATTAAAATAAATAAAGAATCTGAAATGTGAAACTTTACAAATTGATGTAAATTAAAACAAGCTTTAAAAATGTAGTAAACACAATATTTCGGAAGTAAAATAATAACCAAAATTGCTCTTCCTTTAAGTTAAATATTATTAAATTAAACTATTAATTATTCTGTTCTTGTTAGTATATTTCAATTTGTTGGCATCCCCTAATTAAGAGGGCAATGGCCTAACTACCCACACGGTTGAGTATAACTTGTGTTAAATTGTTGGATACGCTTGAGACTTACTATTTTTTTAAGAAACAGTAAGTTGTAATTCCTTACAACGAAATTTATTTAAATCTATACCTGCCTTTATACTACTTCTAGTGAGGTATCAGTATCTAAAAGCTTTACTTTTTTACTTACTCAACTTTGAGTGGTTCAATAATAAGTAGTTCTTAGATTAAAACTGAATCATTGTCAGTTAAAAGGAAAAAATGAATATAAAATGTTTGTATATGACTTGAAAATGAATCAATAAAAAGATGTGTACTTTTTGAGTTATTCGCAAATAAAATACTGAATTCATCATAAAAATGTATGCAACTTGTTTTCGGGAAAGTATGTTATATACATAAATTATAAAAGTTTCAAGGGGAAGACTTTACCCAAGTTTCATTGAAATCATTATTGGCGCTACACTCTATAGCAAACCACGTTTTTAGGCCACCATTTTGAAAGGAAAGGCCTGATGATAATGAAACATATACAAAAACACTTTATTATAATTGCCACACTTAAATATTATTGCCACGTTTCGTCAAACTTTAAAAGAAATCGGTGAAAAACTTTCGGAGATTTGTAGAGATGAATTTGAACATACTGCCATTTGTATTATTATTCACATACTATTTAATATTTTTATTTATTGATATTTTTTTATTTGCTATGGAATCAAAACGTTTATTCAGTATCATTAGTTCAGTGCCGTTTCTTGCAGCACATTTCTTAGTCTCCGGCTTTTAATTTTTCCAATATTAAGTTTAAAAATGCCTCTTAGTGGAGTGGCACTTATTGATACGGACGTTCCATTAGATATGCAGCTAATGCCATCGGAGTTCCATATGAAACTTTACGAGACGCCGCCAGGCGTTTTCGGGAAATTGGTTCTTACAATAGAAGGCCCGGTTCTGAACGGCCTATGGTAACAGAACCACGGGATGACCGGTTTTTGACTTTGAGAATTTTACGGAACCGGCACCTTACCGTTGTTCAAGCGATTCATCAGCTCGAAGAAGTTAGAGGTGTGCAAATTTCTGAGCGTACCGCTCGGAGAAGATTAAATGAGTATGGATTAATGGCTTTTCGTCTAGTAAGAGGACCAGAGTTGACAAGAACTCACAGAGTAACACGGCTGGCTTTTGCTCGAGAACACAGCCATTGGACTATAGACGAATGGAGTACTGTACTTTTTACAGATGAGTCAAGATTCGCTCTTCGATCTCCAGACGGGCGTGAAAGTGTGTGGAGAAGAAGAAACGAAAGATATGCAGCCTGTAATTTTTCCCAGAGCCAACCTTTCCAATGTGGTTCCTTAATGGTGTGGGCTGGGATTTCAATGGAGCTCCGCACAGAATTGGTTGTTGTTCGTGGAGGGTCTTTGACTGTCATTTGCTATGTAGAGGAGATTTTGGAACCTTATGTGTTGCCTATCCTCAACGAAATCGGCGATCGTTCTATTCTAATGGACGATAATGCACGCCCACATGTCGCCAGCATAGTGCAGACGTTCCTTCAACAGAACAATATTGAAGTTTTAGCCTGGCCAGCACGTTCTCCAGATTTGAACCCCATTGAGCATTTATGGGATAACCTTGGAAGACAAATAAGACCGCGTGCAACACTTCCTGATACACTGCAGGACCTTGAAAGGGCTTTTCGGGAGGAATGGGCTATCCTCCAGCAAAGGGACATTTCCCGACTGGTGGAAAGTATGCCGAGGCGTCTTCAAGAAGTAGTGAACGCAAGAGGAAGAAACACGCGCTACTAAACGATGATGTAATTAATTTCTTTTAGAATAATAATGGTTCGTTTTTCAATTTTTTTTTCTCTAATCTTTCTTACCCAATCATATTTTGATTATTAAACGTACAAAACATTATAAAATTCCATAAATACTAAGTATTATCTACAAATACCATGTATTATATACAAATACAACTTTTTTTACAAGTGGCAGAAATATTTTTAGATGAAAACATGAAAAAATCAAGTGGGTGGAATTTTTTGTCGGTCAGTGTATAATGATATTTATGTTTCTTAAAATTCATTTCAAGTGATTTACTTTTATATCTCGATATATAAATATATGGTTAGTTACAGAAAAGGCGAGATGAATATGACAAAGTAGATTAATAAACAGATTTCCTAGGTGAAATGAATTTTAATAGAAAATAAATATTTCTTTACAAATTAAAAGTATCAAATTGATTACTCAATAGTTGGAAGTAGTACAGTGAGGAAAGAGATAGTCGGGTCATTTTGAGAAATGAAGGTTTCAAGTTTTCCTTATTGCTGATGTGAACTTACACGAGATATTCAGTTAGGGTATCCGATATCATCGCTATTTATATTAATGACTTGTTATTTTCAAGGAGAGGATCATTAGTGGTATCTTTCTCGCTAATTATTATCCGTAATAACACTGAATTTTAATTGCCTTTAAAAAATTAGTTGTCCTGTTTAAATTACCGCATATGTATTTATGACTTTTTTCATGACACTTAATGCCGAACTGTAACATATATAAGCGAATATATCAGATGGGACCTCAATCTGGCAAAATGAGGATCATCTTTTTCATACTTCTCTGCATTTCATTATTTCAAATCGTACTGCTTTCTGGTGAGTTGATATAAATGTAGTGAAAATAATTAAATTTGAATTATTACAATGGTTCATTACTAAATAATAAAGCAAAAGTGAAAGATTAGTGATGTGCGCACAGCACCAGATTTTTTTAATTCAACTTTTATTTTTTGCCGAAGCTGGTTTTTTTTTTTTTAAGTTTATCTATATAAAATATAACGAGATCAATATGATATTATTTTTTTTACGATATTCATATGCAATTAAGTTTACATAAGACCTACAGCCAAAATTCAATTGAACATCCTACCCCATAGATGTTAATGAAAATGTATATATATATTTATTAAATAAATAAATATGAAAGAATACTGAGTTTTAACGAATTCTGATGGGATTAGTTTCAGAATTAAGATCATATGTACATTTGGGATATTTGAAGTTCGGAACATAATTTTGGCACGAAATAATATCAGCTACTTTCAGCCGAGGTCATAGAAATTGTATTATCTATTTCTTTTGATTCTTATGTTGATCCCATAGAATGTTTTTGTTTTTGTTAACTTATTATGAATATAAGAAAACTTTAAGTATATTTCTCATTTCAGTTATAACTAATATCTGTATAAAAGCTATAATTATGACTTGTATAAAAAACTTTACTCGTCAGAAAATATTATACTTGTGATATTATATGAGGTAAAAATATTTTAACGGGACACAATAACGAGAATAGGGTACCATCTATCAACGGTCGTCTTGATTTTGAAAAAAAACAAAACAAGAAACTGGGAGGAGAGAAAATAAACGAATAATTGGACCGTTTAATGATGGGATAGTTTTTAGAAATCGCTTCAAAACTGACAAAGAAATATTCGGAGATCTTGCAGATAGCAATCTGGTAAATAAAATAAGATTTTATCGGTGCTCATCACTAAAATCAATATTTATTGAACTTGAACTTAAAAATGTATTCATTCATCCAACATTCGGTTACAAAATTAGTATTACAATTTTTCATCATGGATAAAATAATTCGTTTTTTTAAAAACATTTCTGTATTGAATAATGTTACGTTCTGTCAATAATTACATTAAGGACAATTGTAAATAATGATACAAAAGTTTAAAATAATGCTTAACGTAAAAATTAATAGTTGGGGTGATCAGTCAAATAAGAAGGCAAAAATAAATGATAATATTTATTTTGACATTTGCCGACGTTTTGACCTGAAGTTCGGGCCTTCATCAGGGCTAAGAAAAGAATCAGATAACAGGTTATGAGAAACATAAGTAGTGTAGGTAATAATAAATTAAAGTAAAATGAAGTTGTAAGAATAATGACAATAGTAAGGACTAAGAGATAAATAATAATAACCGTTACAAAGTGTGGAATGATGAAGTAAACTTAGTGTGTTTAAGTGTTTATTTCATCATTCCACACTTTGTAACGGTTATTGTTATTTATCTCTTAGTCCTTACTATTGTCATTATTCTTACAACTTCATTTTACTTTAATTTATTTTTACCTACACAACTTGTGTTTCTCATACCTTGTTTTGTGATTCTTTTCTTAGTCCTGATGAAGGCCTGAACTTCAGATCGAAACGTCGGCAAATGTCAAAATAAATATTATCATTTATTTTTGCCTTCTTATTAGACTGATCACCCCAACTATTCTTCTCTTCATTATTCACGACAGCTAACCACTTACCCACAATTCTGAACATTAATAGTTTCCCATTTTGTGATACAGGCATTGAAAAATATCTGCAGCTAAAATCTTTCCCCAGATCTCCTAGTACAACTATAATTTCTGAGAAGTGCATGAAATTATTTATCTTATGTTGAAATAATATTGGGAGACTTTTGACTTTTAAAAAATTTATTTATTTACAATTTTGTGATATCTCTAACGGTTCACAATGTATTTAAATGATTTAATCCAGCATGTATGCTACAAACTTTAGATAAACTTCCATTAATGTGCGGTTGGGTGCCAGTGCCCGGATAAGTTGTCATGCACATATCTAAGAAATTTTAATAAAATGATAATGTTTTTTAGATGTCGCTAAAGGTGGCAGTGGAGGAAGTGATGGAGGCGGCAGTCTCATCAGTGTTGAAGTACTTAACCAAAACAAAGTATTGTCTTAAATTATACTTTGTATTTATACAATTATAATTAAAATTATATCATAAAAGATGTACTTAAATGAGAATTATAATTATAAAAGTTGAAGTTTCTTATTCACCTTTTAAATAGTTTTATTTAGTTGATAGTCGAATAATCAATAGTTGGCAGTAGTACAGTGAGAAAAGAGATGTCCGGCCATTTTGAAAAATCAAGGTTTCAAGTTTTCCTTATTGCTGATGTGAACTTACACGAGATATTCAGTTAGGTTATCATCACTATTGATATTAATGACTTGTTATTTTCAAAGAGAGGATCATTAGTGGTATCTTTCTCGCTAATGACTATCCGTAATAGTGTTGAGTTTTTAATTGCCTTTAAAAATTTAGTTGGCCTGCTTAAATTACCACACATGAATTTTTTGTTATGACACTTAGTGCCGAACTGTAACATATATAAGCGAATCTATCAAATGGCACCTCAATCTGGCAAAATGAGGATCATCTTCATACTTCTCTGTGTTTCAATATTTCAAATCGTACTGCGTCAAGATGAGTTAGCATAAATGTAGTGAAAGTTATTATTTTACTCCTTTATTTTATTTAGCACGTTGTATGTTAAATTTGTTCATTTATTAATTTTAAAAAGTAGTAAACACAATATTTCGGAAGTAAAATAATAACCAAAATTGCTCTTCCTTTAAGTTAAATATTATTAAATTAAATTATTATTAATTCTTGTTAGTATCTTTCAATTTATAAGCACCCCCAAATTAAGAGACCAATGGTGTAACTACTCACAGGGTTGAGTATAACTTGTGTTAAATTGTTGGAAACGCTTGAGACTTACTATTTTTTTTAAGAAAGAGTAAGTTGTAATTCCTTACAACGAAATTTTTTAAAATCTATACCTGCCTTTATAGTACTTCTAATGAGGTATCAGTATCTAAAAGCTTTACTTTTTTACTTACACGACTTTGAATGGTTCAGTAATAAGTAGTTCTTAGATTAAAACTGAATCGTTGTCAGTTAAAAGGAAATAATGAATTGAAAATGTTTGACAAATTTAATTAAATTACATGATAAATTAACATTGTATCATTTCAACCTGTTATTATCAAAGAAACAAATTTTATGAATGCAAAACATAGTATGATATTCTCCATTGTTCCCATCACCTTTATGCAGACGATTCACAGATCTACCTATCATTTTCCCCTCCTGAGTTACTGGGGGCATTTGCCAAGATCCAAGAAGACCTAGATCGAATCAGTGCCTGGGCAAATGTAAATGGATTAAGGTTAAATGCCGCCAAAACTCAGGCCATTGTCACTGCTTCCAAGCCTCTTCTTAGATCCCATCCAGACTTTCCCATCCTTCACCTTAATGACCAGCCAATCTCCTTCTACTCCTCTGTTAAAAACTTAGGATTTTTCATTGATCAAAACCTCCTTTGGAATCACAATATTTCTCATATCTCTCGACGGACAATTTCCACCCTCAAACTATTCCATCGCTTTTCCCATCTCCTACCTCAACATACGCGTAGACTCCTAGTTTCCTCTCTCATTTTCCCCCACTTTGCTATAGCTGTGTGGTGTACGATGGCCTCTCTGTGGAGCTCCGTGACAGACTGAAAAGACTAATGAACAGCTGTGTAAGATTTGTGATCGGGGCCCCAAGATACTCCCATGTTTCTCACCACTATGCTGAGTTAAAGTGGCTTTTCCCCTCCTTCCGAAGACAATATTTCCTAGGTACGTTCCTCTACCAAATCATCAACAGCCATCGTCCTTCTTACGCCTACAATCTTCTCCAGTTCAAATCCTCAGTCCATTCCCTGTCCACAAGATCTCGACCTTCTAATCTTTACATGCCTTCTCACAGATCTGCCTCATTCCAAAATTCCTTTGTTGTTCGCTCTGTCAATTTCTGGAATTCCCTCCCTATCAAAATTCGACATTCCCCATCCATATCCAAATTCAAAACCCTCCTATTCCAATTCCTATCCCAAGAACAGTCAGATAGTTGCTAACCATTCGAGCTGATTTTAATAGAGAATTTGATACATACAAATTCATTGATTGATTCATTGATACATTTTTATTTTTTAATTCTTTATTATTTTCTTAAAAGTGTATACTAGTGCAAATAGCTTTAAGTGCCTTGTCATAGTATCAATTGTTTTGTATATAGTTTCGTTTTTTGTATATAGAATGTTTACCTTATATTTTTTTTACATTATTTCTTTTTTTCGATTGATTTTATTTTGGCCAGATGTGATCTTTTAATTTTGTTCTATTTTGTTATTCTCAAGGGACTGTGTCCCAGAATAAAATTATTTTTCTATCTATCTATCTATCTATGATAAGTTCTGACAAAGTTAATTGACTTACATAGAATTTCTGGCTTCCTATTTTAGCTATTATTATATAAAGAGTTATATAAACACCAACAAATCCAAATATATGAGAACACTGACGCACTTGATAAGGATATTACAGCAAACATGATACTTTCCAAGAGGTTTCTTGTTTTCCAGAACTGACACTGTTCCTAAAACTTGTGAAGTGTGGAAATGTATTTCCTCCACACTATATATTCATTGAGCCACCCATAGATCATTATATAAATAGGCCAACACAAAACATTTCATCCCTCTTTTCTCCTCTATTATTCAATAGATTTTCTTTCTTCTTTTCTTGTTCAATAGGTATTGACGAGCTTTAGTGTTATCAAAAAATAAAAATATGAAATGACATATCTAATTAAAAATATAAATAGCAGTTTGTTCAAAACAGCTGATTTCCGAAAGTTCTTCACCGATTTCTTTGAACTTTTGACACAACGTCACAATAATATTTAGGAGTGCTTTTGTATACGTTTCATTATCACCAGGCCTTTCTTTTCGAAAAAACGTGATTTGCTTTAGATTGTAGCGCCAGTATGGATGCAACGATTTTAATGAAACTTGGCTAAAGTCTTCCCCTTGAAACATTTCTAATTTATGAATATAACATACGTTCCCGAAAACAAGCTTCATCCATTTTTATGATGAATTCAGTATTTTATATTCCAATAACTTCCCGCAGGGACTAGTCAAAGTGCCAGACTAGTGGAGAATAACGCTCCCCCGGGCTCCTCACAACAGAACAGTACACTTTACACTTATTCATACACAAGGTCATATTCAGTACTCACCTCAGGGCCACCTTCTCTGGGAAGACCTAAGGTTGGGGGGTATAGCCTAACCACTAGTTGTCCCGAGGATACGGGGCCTCTAGCACTGGGCCAATCACCCGTCTGGAGTACAGCAGATTCAGATAGATCTACCTAGCCTCGGATGTGGACAGTCTTCACGGAAACGACTCGGCGCGCTTAAGGATATTCGAATAGGAACATGGAATATTAAAACTTTAACTGGAAAGGAGGTCTAACTGGTGGAAGAGATGAAGAAATATAAAGTTGAAATTCTGGGCATCAGTGAAGTTAAGAAAAAAGGCAGTGGTGAAATGAAGTTAGCTGGAAATTACTCCTTAATTTATGCTGGAGTAATCGTGATCGTGGCAGATTTTAAGATGCCCATTGGTAGGATTTCCACAGTCCAGGTGTATGCACCAACTGAGGATACCGGTGTTATGGAAAAGGAGGCATTCTACTCGGATTCACAAAATATTATAGATAAAGCTAAGGAAAAAGGAAGATCTGTGATCCTGAGTGGGGATTTTAATGCCAGAACAGGAAATGATGTTGGATCAGGATATGGCGTTCTATGGCGTTCTGCATGGAGGTGAAAATGTAAAAAATAACAATGGACAGCGGCTAATAAACTTTTGTGTTGATAATGACCTCCTCATAGGGAGTTCATTCTACCCACACAAAAGAATTCATAAAATTACTTTCTCGTGCTTGGAGCGAAATAGTATAATTGACTATTTTATATATGACCGACACATTAGACAATATTTCGTTGATGTAAAGATCGTGAGAGGAGCAGAGATAGGCAGTGACCACCTTCTACATGTGGCGGATACAAAGATCATTATGGATAGTAAAAAAAAAGCGAAGGCATTTAAGACCGTGAATATTGGAGCCTTGGATGATCCAGAAAAGAGGTTCCTCTACACGAAGAATTTAGAAGATAACTTAAGAGCTACTACTTTCGACAGAGACGTAGAAGATATCTGGAACAAATTAAAGTCATGTATTCTGGAGGTTGTAAATGATGTATGTGGGAAGAGAAAGGTATCTGGTAAGGGAAAGCGGACTGACTGGTGGACCGAGGACCTTCAACGAATAATTGCTCGGAAAAAGCTTGCCTGGAAAGCATACCTTCAAGATAGAAACGAGGAAAAGCTACAAAACTACCGAACAGCCAGGAATGAATTCAAGGCAGCCGTTAGGCAGGCCAAGAAACGTTCGTGGGAAGATTTCGGTAAAAAACTGAGTGAAGACCATCGTGAATCCATAAGAAATTTTTGGCGAAAAATTAAATCCTTAAGATGAAAGAAAAACAAGCCCGTCAGAAATGTAAAGGATAGCGATGGATCCCTGCTTACCGACAAGGAACAGATCGTGAACAGATGGAAACAACATTTTCAGGAACAATTATCCGAAAATCCAGCAACACATCACTGCCAAGAACTAGAGCACTCTACTCTAGAAAGCCTAGAGGTAATAGAAGAAGAAGAAGAAGAAATAGAAGACACAATCCAGACTCTAAAAGCAGGAAAGGCACCAGGAAGGGATGGTATCGCCCCAGAATGTTTGAAATATGGTGGAAATGAACTCTGTAAAGCCCATCAAAGGCTCTTTCAGAAAGTGTATAATAGAAAGAAAATTCCCAAGGATTGGGAATATAGCATAATCCTTCCGATTCATAAAAAAGGCAGTTTAACGGACTGCAATAACTATAGACCCATCAATCTGCTCTCTGTGGTCTATAAATTATATACCTCTATATTAGAAAGGAGGCTCCGGCGGATTGTGGAGAAAGTGAATAGGCTGGTTTC